CTCAGGTCTGCTTGTTAAATGAAACCTGATGCTACTTCCACTAGAACAGAACAATCTGGTAAGGAGACATGGTATGGGCAGGGGTTTCTGCTGGTCTTCTAGGGAAGAGGCTCATTGTGCTGGGACTGAGGCGAACTTGACCAAGAAGGGCAGTATTGGCAGAGCACAGGGATGTGGGACTTGGTGTAAGCAGGTCAGGCAGCCAGTGTCAGTGCTGTGCTGTTTACTGCAGGTGGTTCTGTGTTTATGCTGAGGGATGGGTGAGGGAAATGGTACCAGCCAGCTGCTTTGTCCCCAGAGAGGGGTCTCCATTCTTGCTGCTCTCAGGAAAGCACTCCTAGAAGAGTGAATAATCTCCCCCTGTGCATCCCAGGCATTTTTCAGATAGCTGTTTTCATGCTGTCTGCCTCTGGGTTGCTTGCCTGCCTTTTCTCCTGCAGCAGCACAGTGCCCTCCAAGCTCTATCCCAGCCAAACCTGCTGACTTTTAAAACTCCAAACTTGGGGCACCTGGGTGGCTCATTGCTAAGGCGACTGATTCTGGATTTCAGCTCAGGTCATGATTTGGAGGTCATGAGATTGAGTCCTGTGTCAGGCTCTGTGCTTGGCATGGAGTTTGCTTGGGATTCTCTCCCTCTCCCTCTCCCTCTGCCCCTCCCCCTGCTTGCATTTGCTCTCTCTATTCTGCTCTAAAAAAATAAATAAATAACATTTTTTAAACTCAAAACTTTAGGGATGTGCTGTGGTGGGAGCCTATGCTGGTCTTCTGAGGGAGGGTCTCACTGTGCTGGGACTGAGGGAGATCTAACTGAAAAGGGCAGTCATGCCAGAGTGCAGGGGTTGGGACTTGGAGCAAGCAGGCTAGACTGACCTTGTTGGGACTGAGCTGCCCTAGTCAGGTGGCTCTGTGCTTAGGCTGAGGGGTGGGGGACAGAAATGGTGCTCACTGGCAACTTTGTCCCTGGAGAGGCACTTCTGTGAATGCTACCTCTCAGGGATGTGCTCCAAGAAGAGTGAATAATCTCCCCACTGCCTGCCCAGGTGACCCTCATGTTGCACCATCTGTCCCAGGGTTGTTTCCCTGCCTTCCCTCCAGGAGCAAGGCGGCACCCTCAGGGCTCTATCTCACCACGCCCAACAACCTTTAAAACTCCAGTCTTCAAGCCCCGCTGGTTGTAAGAACTCATGAAAATCAACCCTTCTCATTTTCCCAGCCAGTGGCTTTGGGGAAGTGTTCTCCTTGTGTGTATCCCTGTGTTCTCCCTCTCTCAACTTTCTCCACAACCAGGGCTCCCTCCTCTCCACAGCACCCATGATTTGTATCTGTATCTCTCCTAAACCATGTCTCCACACTTCCTACCTTCCTCAGTGTGGCCTCTACTCTCCCTGTAGTCGTGCAGTTTGTTCTGTCAGTCCTCAGGTTGATTTCTTGGGTATTCAGAATGATTTGATAATTATCTAGTTGTGTTCGAGGGACAAGATGAACCTGGGGTCCTCCTACTATGCCGCCATCTTAGTTCCCCCACAGACAATCTCTGCTTTTAATATTTAGTATTAAAATATTAGTATTTAGACCATTCACACTGAATGTAATTATTTATATACTGTATTAATATCTACCATGTTTGTTATTCTTCCTTATTCCTTGCATTTGCTTTGTTTCTTTTTCCTTCTCTTTTTCTGCCTTGTCTGGTTTTAAGTTAGCATTTTATATGATCCCATCTTGTCTCTTCTATTAACATATCAGTTGTAGTTCTTTTCAAATGTTTTTAGTGGTTGCCTAGAGATTTCAGTATACACTTTATACCGTTCCATCTGTAGCACAGATACCTTGTAACGGAGTATTCCCAATTCCTTCTTCCCATCCCTTATGATATTACTGTCATTCATTGCACTCATCTGTACCTTGTAATCATCATTTGTTCCAATCAGAGAATGTCCTTGAGCTGCTGCTTGACTGCCATCTTGGGTTTCTTTTTAATGTTTCTGGGATTAGATCCACTGGTTTCTAATTTTCACATCTTCCTCAATATTGGATTACATGCCTCTTTTTCTGAATCCAACACATTGAATTTTTTTAAAGATTTATTTATTTTAAAGAGAGAGAGTGAGTGTGGGGAGGCAGAGAGAAGAGCAGAGGGAGAAGGAGAAAGACAATCTCAAGCAGGCTCCATACCCAGTGCAGAGCCCAATGCAGGGCTCTGTCTCATGGCCCTGAGATCATGAACTGAGGCAAAATGAAGAGTCAGACACTTAACTGACTGAGCTACCCAGGCACCCCCCTATTAAATGTTTTTAAGAGTGGGTGTGTGTTGCTCAGTATCAGACATCTATTTATTAGATAAATAAATAAACTAGAACCATACTAGGTGACTTAGTTTTAAAACTTTTTATATACATAAAGGAAATAAAGAAAATTGTAGGAAAAACACTCAAGATGGATATTTGTAAAGTAAAATTTCTGAGCCTTACATATCTGAAGTTGTCTTGATTAGCACTGAGTATTGAAGAGCTGGCTTTACAGTCACTGTTACTGATGAGATGTCACTCTCAAGTTATTCTTGCTGTCATTCCTCCATAGTTGACCAGTTTCTTGATTCTTACTGGAGTTTTAAGTTTTTCTCTTTGTTTTTTAGGTGTTGTCATTTCATAACGAGGTGCTTTGGTTTATGTCTTTTTGAATTCATCTTTCTAAGTACCCTTTAAAAAAAATTCATTTCTTTCTACTCCGTGGTATCTTTTTAAGTAATTCTCTTAACATATTCCTCCTCTGCAATTTCCTTGCACAGCTTTCTTGACTCCAATTAGGTGGCTATTAGACCACCTAAATTTATCTTAATGCTCTTATATTTTCTTTCAAATCTACTTTTTTTTCCCTTTTAATCTCTTACTTTTCTGGGAAACTTCTTCAACTTTATTTTACAACCATTTTAGTAAATTTTAGTAAATTTCAAAAAATCAATATAAAAATTACGTAAGACCATAATCACTTTCTTTCTTTGTATCTTGGGGTACAGTGTGTATTCTCAAATATCTCTAAAAAATATTAGAGGTTTTGAAAGTTTCTCATTTCCTACAATATCTCTGTTTCTCCTAAGATAACTTTTTTTTCTTTTTGTATGTTGTTCTTTCTGATATTTGAGAATTTTTTCAAAACTCTGCTGACCTGGGGTTATCTGTTCCTACTTAAGAGAAGGCTCTGGAAATCAACTGATGTGATTCACTAAATTAAAGAATAAAGAAGGAAAATCATATAAATATCTCAGCAGATGCACTTGATAATATTCAACATCTGTCCATGAGAAAACTCTCAGCAAACTAGGAATAGACAGTAACTTCTTCATTAAAAATACACACACACACACACACACAGTGTATACAGCAAACATCATACTTAATGGTGATACTAAGTGCTTTTTTTCTAAGATTGGAAACAAGACAAGGATGTCCACTCTCACTACTTTTCTTCAACATTGTGTCTAAACTCCTAATCAGTACAATAAGAAAGAAAAAGAAATAATTGTTGGGGAAAAAAAGTAAAGGAGTTTACTTGCTGGTGACATGATTATTTATTTTCTATAAAATCCAAAAAAAATCTACAAATACATTACTGGAATACAAGAATTTAGCAGGGTTATAAATACATGGTTAATATTTTCAAAAACCAGTTTTATTCCCATCCAATTATAACAAGCAATTTAAAAAACAATACCATTTAAAGCAATACCAGCTTAAAAAGCAACACCATTTCTAGTTAGGAATAAGTTTAATGAAAGATGTGTATGACTTCTTTTTTTTTTTAATTTAATTTAGTTAACACATAGTGTATTATTAGTATCAGGGGTAGAATTTAGTGATTCATCAGTTGCATATAACATCCAGTGCTCATTACATCAAGTGCCCTCCTGAATGTCCATCACCCAATTACCCCATCCCCCCACCGACCTTCCCTCCAGCAACCCTCAGTTTGTTCCCTATAGTTAAGAGTCTCCTATGGTTTGCCTCCCTCTCTGTTTTAATCTTAGTTTATTTTTCCTTCCCTTCCCCTATGTTCGTCGTTTTGTTTCTTAAATTCCCCAGTCTAGATGTGTATGACTTCTTTACTGAAAACACTTCTAGAAGGAAAACTAAATAAATGGAGAGCTATACAATGTTAACAGATTGGAGCTCAATATTGTTAAGATATCATTTGTAACCAAATTTATCTGAAGGTTCAATGCAAACTGTATAAAAATCCAAAAGGCTTTTCTTGTAGAAATTGACAAATAGATTTTAAGAGACATATGGAATACCAAAAGACCTAGAAAAGCCAAGACAATTTTTCCCTAACTGACTTCAAGACTTTCTATAAACTATAGTGTGCAAGCCAATTTGCTATCGGCATAAGGATAGACAAATAGATCAGTGGTACAGAATAGAAAATCTATAAATAGACCCATGCTTACATTACAAATTGCTTTTTGAATATTTTCATTACCTTGTGGTAGGCAAAGATTTCTTAGTACATTAAAGTTATTATTAAAGTTATAAACCACAGAAGAAAAGAATTGATGGATTTGGCTTCCTCAAAATTAAAAATTTCTCCTCATCAAAACACATGGTTAAGCAAACCACAGACTGGAAGAAAATGTTTGTGATACATAAATTAAACAAAAACACTTCTTTCCATAATATAAAACAAACTGCTACACATCAGTAAGTAGTAAAAGACAACCAAACAATATAAATGGGTCAAAAACTTGAACAGACACTTTACAAAAGATGCATGAATTGCCAATAAGCATATGAAAACATGCTCAATATCATTAGTCATTAAAGAAATGCAAATTAAAACTATATGAGATCCCACATCATACTCATGAGAATTGCTAAAATTAGAAAAACTATCTCTAATAGACTTTGAAAAACAGTTTGGCAGATTCTAAACTGGCTAAACATACTCACGCAATGATCCACTCCTAATTACCCAAGATAAATGAAAACATCATGCCATAAAAAGACATGTACAAGAACAACAGGTTTATATCATACAAGTCCCAAACTGGAATCAATCTAAATGTCCATCCCAGGAAAATGAATAAGCAGATTGCGGTAGGTCCACACAATGGAATACCTTCAACTACAAAAAGGAACAAACTTCCATTCATCCAACAGCTTGGATGATGAGCAAATGCCAGGCACAAAGCATACATGATGTATTACTCCACGTATGTGAAACCCAGTAAGAGGCAAAATTCACACATGGTGACAGAAAGGTCAGCAATGTTTGCCTTTGAGAGGCTGCCTGGCTCTAGGTGGTCAGCTTGTAGGGTGAGGGGTTAGAGGTGCACTGTTCTGTTCTCCATTTAAAAAATAACATATAAGTTTTCAGCACCATGTCTCACTTGTGATCTCTACTGCCTCTTCAGGGTTCTTCAGGGCATACTGGTGTTTTTCTGACCTCTGGAAGCATCCTCCACCTACAACAGCAATTAGCACTCTTCTGACCACTTTTGTCATATAGATTATGGTTGAAATTTCTCTTGTGCTCATTGCCCCGCCATTCTCTTTGTCACTGTGAATCCAATTTCTTTATTATCGTTTTAGCAGGGCTTTTAATGAAAGAGAAGAAAAATGCTTCTTTTCAATCTGCAATCTTTGACCTGGAACATTTCTTTTGCAGGAATTTGACACAATAATTTGACGTTATTATTCCCTGAGGCATACTAAGTACTTGGGAAGTGGCAATAATTCTCTTCTGGTTTGACAAAGAAAGCTTCTAAGTCTTCATAATACAAGATGTTGATTAAAACATTATTATCAGAGCAATAAAATGATCAACTAAAAATTGGAATTATAGACTCAGGTTTAAAATTACTTTCACAGGAAACATCAGTGATTTCTGAAATTCAGATGCCTGAAAAGATTCACTATATATAACAATAACACAGATTTATATTAACACAAAGTAGGACCAGATGTCCCAGGAAAAATGTTTGATATTCTTGTGAAATTATCAATTTATACTGTTTCATGTCACTATTAACCACATCTTATGCTTTATAAATTAACTTTATAATGTAGGATGGCATTTTTCTTAACAGCTATAGGGGGAGAGCTGGTTTTTAGCTTTCTGATATTTTTTTTCTCTTAGTTGTGAAGTATTTTCAAGGTTAGACTTCTATCCCATTGCTTTCCTTTTTCCAAAACTGTTTTATTGGAGTATAGTTTATTCCATTGCTTTTCATTCCTCTGTTCACTCCATCTCAATTTTGTTTAAATTTAAATTTTTTTAATTACAAAAATACTTCAGATATGTGAAGGTATCTTTACAATGGCTTTGATCCAGACAGACTGGAATAGACTTTTTCAGTCCCACATTTAAGTCTTTCTTAACCTCCGTGCTTTCTTCAGCATATCTTTGCTTATTATTTCAATTCCATTTTTTCTGTCTCTGCTCAGCACTATTTACTTTATATATGTTAGTTTTTCCCAGCTTATTCTTCATATATAAATCTTACAGCCTCCACAAGCATCTTGGAATCTGGATGACCATTTTCACACAGTATCCTTCCTTCTTAGGGCATCCACAGAAGACCAGAACATTGATGACAGACTTATCTATGAGACTCTATTCAAACACTTCAAAAGACACAAGGTGGAGATTTCAAATGCAGTAAAAAAGCCATTTCCTTTCTTTGAGTGCCTCCGGGACCGTGAACTCATCACCAACAAACTGTATGACGTAAGTGATGTTTATTATGTCATGATCTGGTAAACTGGCCCCAAATGAAGTTATATTTTGATATCCTGGACCCAAACATCAAGCACAACTAACCGATTGAGTCTCCTATGAGTGGGGACTTTTTCAAGTATTGTTGCAAGTGTTCCTGTAAGGTGAAAAGGAAAAGGAGAATCAGTTGTCACCAGGGACAATCCTGCTTCTCTCTGAAGGAATGGCGCTCTGTGCTGCCCCCTGGAGTTGGGCTGAATAGCATATCAAGTGGGCTGAATCTGAAACAGGACCACTCTATAGATGTATATAATGCTTTGTAGGAATGCGTAGAATATAACATAAACTGAGAATTAAAGGTAATTTTAATGAATTGATGTATAACTTAAATGAGTTAATTTAATAAAATAATAACACATATCATTTTTTAAAAATTTTATTATGTTATGTTAGTCACCATACAATACATCATTAGTTTTTGATGTGGTGATCCGCGATCCATTGTTTTCATATAACAACCAGTGCTCCATGCAGTACGTGCCCTCCTTAATACCCGTCACCGGGCTAACCAATCCCCCCTCCCCCCTCCCCTCTAAAACCCTGTTTGTTTCTCAGAGTCCACAGTCTCTCATAGTTCATCTCTCAACACATATCATTTCAGTGGACATCAGTTTGAGTGCTTAGATCTGAGAACATTAAAATCTACAGGGAATTGATGTCCTGTTAGGACAAAATTTGGGAATTGATGATTATTATTCTTTCACTAGCAGTTTTCAATTTTTAGGTTTTTTTTTTCTTTTTCTCTTTCTCTTTTTATGGTATTTCTGGACTTTTAGAATTTGGGTTTGATTTTAGCAATAGGCATAGCTGGAGATACAGAGATTCAAGTCTTCTCTTTGCCGGATGAATACGCTTTCTCTATGGCCAAATTCATAAAAGAGGAGAACTGTCACCTGGTTTCCTTGAGTTCTTCCAGGCCCAGTCAGTCCTGGGGAAAGGGTAAGGTCGTCCATACAACAGGACAGCTGCTCATCACCTCTTAGTCTATTCCTAAAATATCTGACCAGGTTCTTAAAGGGCTCATTTAACTTTGAACCCACTGTTGTTCTTCAAAATTGCTCTTACTTACATCTAATATAAATGAAGGTGAGGAGATCTGTTTCACAAGTGAGTATTTTTCAGGAGGAAGGATTTACTTGTTTCACTTAGTATCTATACAAATAAATAGAAATTCTAAAACTTTATATGAGAAGATACCTATGGAGGAAATTGGAAGACATTACCCATAAAATCACTTTCTAGGGCTCTTCTGTAACTTGGAAGTCTGTATTTATATTCTCTCCATTCAATATTTTTTAAGGATTGTCAAGATTCTTGTAGAAACCTGATCCCTGTACAAAGAGTGGTGTATAATGTTCTCCATGAACTGGAGAAGACATTTGACTTGCCACTTTTGGAAGCATTGTTCAGCGAGGTCAACATGCAAGAATACCCTGATTTAAATCGTATTTATAGGAGCTTCGAATATGGTAATTAGTTTTATTATCTACCTTTTGATATCCAGGGCCAACTTTTTTTTTTTGGACAAGTATATGTTGAGCTCCTACAACGTTCCACACACAATGCTGGGGCAGTGGGGATATAACAGTGGAGAAAACACAAATCATGAACCTTCTCAAAGCTTATGGTATAATGGCTATGGTACAACACTCACCTAGAGTAGAGGTCTGCTTAACTAGGCATTTAGACTCATAGGGCAACCAGAGCCAAAGTGCCATCAGATTTACTTAGAAGGACAAATGACAGGAAACACAGCATCCCAACAGGGCAGCATCAGTTGCTCCTCTTCTGTGGGATTCCTTGTGGAGACCCACACAGCAGTCCACCAAGTTGACTACTACCCGCCTCGAGTGTCAGCTTGGCTGTGGATGTAGGATCCACCCTGGCTTAGCAGCACCATGCCCATGGGTATCAATAGGTCACATAACAGTGCTGTAGTCATAACGTTCAGGGACCCTACAAGGAACAAGCCAAGTCATAAGAGTCACCACTTTGAAGGAAGACCAAAGTGCACTTTGTAGTCTGTAGATAGTCCCTCCCCATCCACATGTAACTTACCAGTCATTTTTTGACCCTAAACTAGGGCTAAGCTAGGTTTTAATTAGGCCGATGTTGGCTTTAGTAGAAGAAAAGCCATCTTCATCAGGTTTCCAGAGTAATGAGCCAGAAAGTTAACCCAATGTCACATTTACCCTTAAAGAAGGAGAATTGGTTTTGTTAACTCTTTCTCCACAAGGGGTGAAACAAACATTATTCAAATAATCACAAAACCAATGCTCTGCCAGGTGTTATACAAAACTAAAGGTTTGATTCTCAATTTTTTCCTGGGAAGGCATGATTTTTATTTTATTTTTAAAATAACTCTATTTTAATTTATTTTAAGGCCTGCAAGAGTTTAAGAGAATGCTCTTAATATATATATACACTTTTTTTTTTGACTTGCCTAAGAAACTTTTTATTCCAACACAGTTTGGTGTCAGTGGAGTTCTCCAGATAAGGGATAGAGACATCATAAGAAGAATGTTCCCATGTCCTGAAGAGGGTTGGCACTATGGGATCAGGCATGGAGTGTGAAAGGATCTAGTGTGTCTTCAAAGACAAATTCAATTTTTCTCAGAGAGTGAGAAGCAGACTGTGGAGCTGATTCATGAGAGATAAATTTGAAGAAAATTTTAGGAAGTCTACCATATAAAGCTAAGCAATTGGAATTTTATTAATAGGCAATAAAGAGATATCAACAGTTTTTATAAACAAGAAAAAATTAAAAAGCAGGTATAAAGCATGTGGTTTGTCGACTTGTGTCAATAGTAACCTTATCTAATTAAGAACAAAATAATTTCTACAGCAGTTAGAAATCGAATAAAGGCAATTAAGTCAATATTGTATTTGTAACCAGGATGTCCCAGGCCATGGGAACAGAGGGAATGGCGGTTACCTGTCCTGCCCACACCTCAGGGGCTCTGATTCTCTCCATGGACTGCAGCGACCCCCCCCTTCCAGGTTCAGTGTCCACATCCCCTGTGTTAGGTTCTGGGGTTCCCCAAGCTAGGGTGACCTGCACCTACACTCACTGCCGCCCACCTGCCCCTGGGGAGATGGCAGCTGTCGCCTCCCAGACACTGTAGTTCATGGGAGCTGTGCGTCAGTGACCCAAAGCCAAGAATCTGGGGGCTGTGGCCTGGGGTGTGCACCCTCTCCTGCTGCTCAGTCCCTACCTTCATCGCATGCTCAGAGCCCCCTGAGCCCCCATGGGACCACATACATGCACACAGGCCCCCTTCACCTTTCCCTTTGTTCTCCTTGTATCTTCCACCTGGTTTTGCCACAGTCTGAGGCCAGGTCCTGGGATGACAAAGCACACCTGGCTCCCACTGTCCCATGCAACTCACCCCTGCGGGCCCAGCCCCAGGAAGAACTCCCTCCATGGGCCCTGGAGCAGCAGGTTCCCTACCTCCGTGGTGTCCCCTCCTCCCTGGACTCCCCGCAGATACCACCCTCCTCCCCCCTCCAGGCTTCATGGTTTATTTCCTTCCTCCCATGTGTGCTGGGTCACCTACAGGAAGGGGCGCTGGGCTGGTGTCCCTCCCTCCCCTGACTGGGGGAGGTCCTCCAGCACAGCTATCTGTGCTCCCTGCTCAGAGCTGCAGAGTGTCCCTCCTTTGTTCCTGGGATCTGGCCCCTGGGAGGTCTGTCTTGTTCCTCCAGGTGTCCTCTGCTTTGTCTCTTTGGGAAGCACTCACCCTCCCTGCCCCAACCCTCCTCTGGTCTAGCAGCATCTTTAGAGCAGATGGGCTTTCTCTTTCATACCCATGGATCTCTCTGTGAGCCTAGCTCTTCTCCGAAGGAAATCCCTATTTCTTTCTTTCAGTTTGAATGGTTCAGAAACACATTTCACTTCTATTATTTATTTTGATATATGCTTTTCCTGGCCATCCACAAATTCTTTTACAAGAGTAACGGGATCGTGATGTTTCCTTTATCCTTACATTTGGAGTGGCTCCTTTCTGTGTGGGAGACATAGACTCTCTTGCTGGGAGTTCTCTTTTCTATCCCAGGAATGATTGGGGAGCTTTACAAGAAGGATCAGAGGCACTGAGCTCGAGTGACCTGAGGGATGGGAGTTGCTAACTGTGTAATTTTGAGATGTTGTGTCTGGTCTCTGATGGGATCCCTAATTGCCTTCTTCCATCTCCCTCTCTTTAGCAATCCAAGAGAAAATTAATTACCAAGAAAGTGATGAAGAAGCGGTGGACAAGAGTCCTAATAACCAACTGAGGCTTAGGCAAGGTGATTGCAACCTGATAAACACTGATTTGCATCTACAAAGAAGAAAAGGAGAAAGGGAACTCAGGCCTGAGTCCTGAGTGTATTTGGGGAATCAGGGAAGAAATATTAAGGACCAAGGAAAAGGCAGGGAGGGGTGTTTGCATGAATGTCTAAGCAGAGCCCAAATCCTGGAGGAGTAGCTATGACAAGAGACTATTGGCCCAATAACCAAGGCAACGGGACAGAAACTCAGTGTCAATAAACCAGATTTAAGCAGATTAACTGCCAGGAAGTAATTGTGATTTAGAAAAGTCCCTGTAGGAGAATATTAGTGTGAAACTCTTAAGGGCTAAGGACCTGGGCCCATGGTCAACATCAAATGTTGGAGGAAGGACTGATGTCAATGTGGGGATGTTTTTCAAGAGCCCAGATATACAAGGAGAAAGCCAGTCACAGAGAGAGAGAAAAGAGGAAGTGGTAGAAAGATGGAAGGGAGGATGTGGGTACTTTGAGAGAGAGAAGGAGGGAAATGAAAGAGAAGAAAGGATTAAAAGACACAATAGAAATAGCTGTGTTATTAACGTCTCACTGGTTGAACATTTGTGCAGGCAGTTGTAGGTTTAGTGCTCAGGCTGCCATTGGAGGTTAGCACTCCTTTTATGCCCATTTTGCAGATAAGGAAACTGAAATCTGGAGACAGTGTGTGTGTAGTTGGCCTGGGGTCAGATGAGCAAGGGTGAACCCAGGCATTCTGAACCCAGAGCCTGTGTGTGTGTGTGTGTGTGCGCGCGCGTGCATGTGTGTGTGTTAATGGAAGTAAAAATTCACATAACATAAAATTAACCATTTTAAAGTGTACAGTTAATGATATTTGGTGCATTCACAATGTTGTGCAACCACTACCTCTGTCTAGTTCCAAAACATTCCAATCACCTCAGAAGGAAGCTCCATATCACTCCCTGTGCCCCTCTTGCCTAGCCTCTGGCAACCAGTAATCTAGTTTCTGTCTCTGTGGATTTACCTATTCCAGACATTTCATGTAAATGGAATCATATAAACATGCCCTTCATGTCTGGCTTCTTTCACACAGCACAATATTTTCAAGGTTCGTCTATGTTGTCGCATGAATCAGTTCTTCATTCCTCTTTGTTAGTGAAGAGCATTCCCTTGTATGGATATATTTATTACATGTTGCTTATCCATTCATCAGTTAGTGATGGGTTGTTTCTACCTTTTGGCTGTGACAGAGCCTGCATTCTTTTTTTTTTTTTTTTGCTTTCCATTCAACGTTATGTTTTTTTTTTATTCTTATGTTAATCCCCATACATTACATCATTAGTTCTAGATGAAGTGTTCCATG